ACTTCAATGACATTTTATAATTAATTCAATAAATAACACTAGGATAATCATTGACCATAATTTACCAAGCAAAATCAACAAATCTACCGCAAAATACAACTCAATACTTTTAAAGCTATTATCGTTGTGTTTGCCATTATTTATATCGTTAATAAATATCTTGTTATATTCATCAGAATTAATGCCATTTTTGTATAACTCTTTATTTAGTTCTTTTAATCCATGAAAGATTAATCTATAATCGGTCCGACGCTTGCAATTGATGTTTAGTCCCGATTCAACCATAGTCTGAATCCTGGGAAAATACATCAAGATATTTTTATTTTTATTAAAATCATTAACTAGTATTTTTACATTTTAAGCAATTGTAATCTTTTATGTTTATATTGCGGACAATTTTCCCATTTTGTGCATTTGTTTATTGGGTGACCAAATAGTGTTGGGTAATATTTATTATCCCCTAACGCCAGTTTTAAATCAAGATGATTTAACTTTTCTCGCCATAGCTGTCCGCCATCGCTCATGTATACAGATTGCCGACTTTCAACCTTGTTGAAAATTGTTTCCTATGTTTGTTAATAAGTATATTAAATATTATCAGGATAAAAAACTTAAAATTTAAACTATAAATATTTGAATCGCTTATACCTTTACAGATAATTTGTACTTATCGTAAGATTTATGATGATAACTATTATCTACAAATTGTACCCGGCCCTTTTGGTAGAAATTGTACAATGTTGGATCAATTGGTATATTCCAAGTAAATTTTTTGTTATAAACATGCCATAACCATGATCCGTTTGTAATTATTATTGATTGATTTGAACTAACAAGCTCATCTAATGATTTTATATATCGCCACTCCCGGGTCACTATTGATGATAATATAAACGCACAGAAATGGTATGACAACAATAATACCATATATGCCCATAGGTTTATCAGTAGGTTTGGTCGCGTGTATTGATTATTTAGAGTTTGGTTAAATATATGTCTTACGATATCGTAGAATATTCTTACAGGGGTAATATTTTTCATATTATCTAGATTCAAATAAAATCAAGGCATATGTTAATTTATTTACTTAAAATTATGAGTAATCTTACCATTCAATTTAACCAACAGATATTGATAAACTGTAATTAGCAAAACACAAAGTAATATTAAAAGCCAAATTAACCAAGAATACGTATTGATTATGGTAAGTATATTTGGCTTATCTAAATATTTGCCACTCAAAATAACCATATTGTATTCATCAACAACCCATTGTGCGTCCGTAAATTGCATCACATATTCATCAATTGTCATCATGGTTAACCCTAAATCAATTTCCTAGTGAACAAATATATAATAATTATTTAAACAATATTTATCATGCAGTATATTAACAATCACCTTGTTTTCACGCATCATTTGTATACTATTGATCCAGTTATTTGAAAAAACGCGTAAAGTAACATTATATTTGCCATTTGAGAGTACCTCGATGATTTGTTGATCAATATTGCATACCTTGCTTGATGTAATAATTAATACCGATTGGTTACTACTTTGGTTACCTAAATATGTATCACCATTGTTGTAAGTCTGACATCTTTCTAAATCAAACCAACCCATTATTATATTGTTAATACAGTATTATGACAATTATTTAAAATAGTGGTTGTATTTATACATTACACTTTATTAATAAAAGTACAAATTACTTATACACTATCAGATATGGTAATTAATATTGATAGATATAATAACTTGTATATTTCTCATTAGTAAAATATAAATAATTTATTTAATAAAAATTGTGTTGTAATCAATACTGTATTAATACCAGAATCAATAATTATATAATTAGTTTAATTAAATAACATTGAATTATATGTTGCATGTTTATTAAATTAGAATACATTATTTAATTTTTCCAATAATAATAAATAAATTGTTTCATTGTTATAACCAGGGATCCGCATGTTGAAATGTAATAGTAAATAGTGAGTACTGTATTAGTTATAAATATAGCGATTTATAGACAGATTCATATTTGATAGCATTAGTCATGCTATAACTTAAGTATAACCTCACTATACAAAAGTGGCCCTACAGTGGCCCTAGCGCGTTTTAGTTATAACTTATAACTTATCATACAGTCCGGTAGAGGTGCGCACAGTTAGTCAACGTTAGACATCAAATCCAAATGCTGTGTATTTAAACGGTAGGACTTTTGAGACCGGATTGAGGCCAGGAATAGGACAGTCAGGGGCTGGCATTGGGTTAACACTTGTGTCAGTCCGGCGCTAGTGAAATATACGGCCCGATTGGCGGCGCACTGGAGGTTGAGGTTGCAGTCGGTGGCCGTCATTAGCGACGAGTGTCTGTAAACAATAGTTACAATATATTTGTTTAATTGTAATAACTTTTAACTCATATTGATTAAATAATATTTAATTAATGCTAATTCAAATATTTAATGATAATTTAATTTATTTGCTATTATTTTTGTTTTATCTTATATAATTTCATATATTTAGATAATATAAACATAACTAATCGTAGTGTCTTCAAAAAGTGATAAATATATATATTTTTATAATTGATTTCCATAAACTTTAACCTATTAATAAATGATAAATTAATTTTGTGATTAAGATTGCCCTTAAATGGTTTTCATTGTATTCACAGTTAGTATAATAAATGTTTTAAACAAAATTATCATCTTCATATATTTATTAAAATAAAATTTAATTATATTTTAACACATCATTAATTTATATTTCTTAATGTAATTTATTATCTCTAATTGTAATTTATAATTTATTATATTTAAATAACAATTCATTAAATAATGGACCAAACATTCAAGTCTAAATGTTTCCAGGTTGTCATAACAAAATATTGATTAGGTTAAACTACAAAAAAACAACCATTTTATTTAAAATACAATATTTTATTGTGATTAAAATAAAATAACAATTGTTTCGAATTTAAAAATTTATTTAAAAATACACTAATTTCATTATATATTTTTACAATTATCACAAGGTGAGTTATAATAATTATTATTATTTATATGAGCTTTTTATAAGTTAAATAAAATTAAAATAAAAAATTAATAAACTCTTATTATTATTATATATTATTATAATCATAATTATTTCAATATTGTAATTTGAAAGACATGGATACATCAGTAAATTCATTTGATGGCCTAACATTACAACCAGGTAGATTTGATACAGATTTTATAGATGAAACCGGGCCTATAAGTGGACGATTTTTATATACTGTAACAAAAGCCCGGCACAGGTTTGACCAGAAAGAGTATGCAATACAAAAGATTATAATTAAAGGTATATTTATAACTAAATTATTTTATTAATTTGTAAGCTGTTTTTTATAAATACCTCAATATAATAATTGCTGATTGAAATAATAATTCATTTTGATGGCATTTTCTATATATTAAAGTATAATAAGTTATTATTATTAATAACAGATATAAATATTATTCCATCCATAGTGTGGTGTTTAGACTGTAGTTAAAATACAACATAATTAAACATAGGTAATATAGTAGCTGCATTAATTATATATATTTACTTTCTCACACACAGACACCGAGCACTTCGAGCCGATACACCGTAAGAGTCAGATATGGGCTAAACTGGACTCCGATTATATCGTAAAATTCCAAAACTCATGGCTAGAGATGTGCGACGACAGGACTGAAGCCCAGCTCAGAAACAATCCATATTTTAATTCACTTGTAAGCTATGAATTTCGGAATGATTTCAACGGTCATTATCCAAAACTGAACAAGGACATATTAGAACCAATTCGGCGACCAATATTACATATTCAAATGGACTTGTGTTGGTTCACACTGTGGGACGCCATCGAGAAAATGAAGGTATATTTCCAGCGAGAAGACAGACAGTTTTGGCCAGAGTTGGGCGCATACATAGCCGGGCAGTTATTGGTCGAGTTGATGGAGGCTGTAGCTTATTTGCATGGATTAAAGCCATTTATAATTCACTGTAGTATTGCGCCAAAAAATATCATGATTAAAGGTGGCCCATCGGGCGCTCGGTTTATTAAACTTGGTGATTATGGTTTAGCGGTTGAAAATACGCATGATTATGTGAGTTACAACATGGATGAAGGGTTTTATAATCGTGTGGCGCCCGAATTACATTATGACCGCAAATATGGCATTAATGCCGATATGTTTAACATTAGTGTTACCATTCAGAAGCTCTTTAATTATAATTTATATAAGTATGAATACAAAGAAGCATTCTCGTTATTTATTAATTATATTGTATTATAATATGTAATTTTAATCTCTCTCTCTCTCTCTCTCTCTCTCTCTCTCTCTATTTTTAATTTTTTTTATTTTAGTCATCTTTCAGACAATGTAATACAGAACATGTTGTATACATATAATGAATAGATTAAAAATTTAAATCTTTTTCTGTTTTTCTATCTATCCATAGTTTACCCAAAGCAAACGAGATTATTGAAACATACAAGGGAGTTGTAAGTTTATCGCAAATTTTATTTAATAGGTCCCAAAAGATGAGACCAACCTGTACCCAGTGTTTAGCCAAAAGGTCCGAGTGGTCAGTGCCTTACAGTGCTGTGAGGGCTCACATCGTGTCCACCATTGATGTCAATAGTTGTGGTTATGATTATAACGAAGAATTTATTAAATATTTTTTACGTAAAAAGTTCAAACAAAATGAAATCCTAAATTATCCTGTTGAAATAAAACAAGAGAAGCATGCTGACTTTACTAGGAAGTTACTGAAGTCACATTATATAGCAAAAAAATTTGATATTAATGGTAATTTTAATACAAAATTTATCGATATTAGCGCAATCGGTTCAGGTAATTTTGGGAAAGTTTACAAAGCAAAGGATAAATTGGATAATAATATATTTGCAATAAAACAAGTGTTATTTAGAGGTATATAAATTTAAAGACATTATACATCTTGATGTACAGTGTATTTAATTTTTGTTTAAAATTAATATATCAATATTGTAATTTACAATAGGTTTCAGTGAAGCAAAGAAACAAAAAGTTCTTAAAGAAGTGAATAATTTGAAAAAACTGGACTCAAATTTTGTGGTCAAATATTACGATTCATGGCTTGAGTCCAATCATCTCTACATTCAAATGCAATTCTGTTCGCAAAGTCTTAAATCCCTTCTCAAAGACAAACCCATTGTATTCGAGAGACAACCTGAAGAACCAATTGATTGTATATTTGAACATTTTATTACATGTGAAATATTCAAAGAGATACTACAATGCGTTCAATATCTGCATGAATTGGATCCACCGGTCATTCACCGGGATCTCAAACCCGACAATATTTTAATTGCACACAATATTAATAACAATCGGTTTATAAAATTATGTGACTTTGGTTTGGCCACAGAGTTAGTCATAGATAAGGGGACTGACGCCCGATATGAGCACACAGTTGTGGGCACTTCAAGATATATGGCACCTGAAGTATATTACGGTCGATATAATCACAAATCAGATATTTTTAGCCTCAGTATCATAGGCGAACAGTTATTTGTCATCAACCTTCAAGAGTACGTAATTTAGTTTATAAATAATGACGTTATAAAACTATACGATATTTGTTTGAAATTATATTATCAAAAATATTGTATTAATGAAATATTTATATACTAATAATTAATTAATATTTACATTTTCTGTGTATTTATAGTCGAGATTCGGTGGAAGCAAATCAATCAATGTTCAAAACATCCGTAATCCGTATTTATGAGACACTTCTAGCAATGATGTCAACACCGTTTTGGAGGCAAAGACCTGAGTGTCGGGAAGTGTTGGTCACATATAATGAGTGGTCCATTGATAGGACTGTTGTCGCAAATCATATAAATGTCAATCAAATGCTAAATAATCTTCAAACTAAAGAAAACAGAATATTCTATGAAATTTTATTTTGTAAAACACAATAAAATGTAAAATACTTATTTTATTAGTAAACTCTTTTATAATGGTGAAGTCCATTAATCTAAATCCTGTATTACATGTACACTAACATTACTAAACATGATTAAAAAGATGTTGTTAAATTTAATGCCAAGGAAATTCTTTATCATCCAAATAATACTTTATAACTGTTATACATGTTATCTGTAGATTACTATGTTATATATTTTTAATAATTTGTAATATAATATTTGAACACTTCAAACAAGAATTCAATCATAAATTATAAAATACATAATATTTAATTAAATAAGCGCTACCCCTAAAACTCCAACAGAACATTACATTAAACAGTACGCTGTAAACTATCGACGGGGAACCTATGTCAACACTATACAGATTGACTGAATGTAAAATCGTCACAAAAATAATCACCATACCGTAATATTATTATTTATACTGTTTTTGGTCATATTTTTACAAAATTAAGATCAATTTGTTATATAATGTTAAACTACGCCAAATATGGAGTACACTGGTTATTTTATATGACCATCCGACCTCGGGATCAGCTGCAGTAACCACGTTTAGCAAGAATTTTAACTTATCCAATACTAACATATTATATATGAAATCAACATAAAATTTAACGTAGAATTATAATATCATAATAACATCTCGATATAATAAATAGATTTAATATAATTCCAATTTATTTTTGGTCCGAGATTAGTGGTGATGACTATTGGGTCAAGAGTGCTGAAGGTGGCCTGGGGATGTGTGTGGTGTTGGCGTAGATAATAGGAGTTGAGGAAGAATAGGTTATTTTAATAATTTTATCTAAATTTCAACAGTTTTAAGTTAATAACATAAAATCTATTTACCCCACCGATGTGATATTGAGATATTCTAATTCTACGTTAAATTCTACATCGATTTCATATATCACATGTTAGTATTGGATAAGTTGAATTTTCCCGATAAAGTGGTCACTGCGGCCGAACCCGAGGTAGCTTAGCAATATGGACTATATCAGGGTACTCCTTATTCCATGTATATTCATGTTATATGTTCAAATCCCGATTGCCAACTGGGGCCAATTTGCCGATTGTTTTTTGTATATGTACGGTATGGTGATTATTTTTGTGACGATTTTACATTCAGTCAATCTGTATAGTGTTGACATAGGTTCCCCGTCGATACTGTAAACTATACATGTTCAATGTACTTACTATTAGTAAGTTGAAGTAGTAAAGCCAAGTGTCATCTCAATATTAAAATTACATTTTAATGATTAAATTAAGAATTATTAATCATTAAATTGAATGCATATATTAAACACATAGATATTATTAAATATTAAATAATCGCAAACAATATAACAAATCTCATTAAATTGTGTATTTAATAATTAAATTTTGTTTTAAATAACGTTTTGTGGATAGACTGAAAGCCAACCACTAAAAATGGGTGAGAAACTATTAGGTTGACTTTCACGCGGTGTTTCTTGTTTAATACTGACAAACCTAAACTTTTTTACTGACCGTTGCGCCACCTTTTTATGGCATACTGTGAATCTGTATATGTGATATACTAAAAAAGATTGAACACGTATACTGTAAACCATCTGGACAAATTAGTCACTCATTAAAAATCAATAATTAATTTTTATATTAAATAAATGATTTATATAATTTGACACATCATCATTTTAAAAGTATCATATATTCATAACTATTGTAAGCAAAGTACAATTATAACTACAATGCGTGTGGCAATTATTCTGGTAATTGTGGCCGTATTGACCATCAGCACCTGTACCGTGTTGGCTGATCCAATTCGTATGTATTGAAACAGTAAAAATAATAATTAATTTAATTTCAATGTTTATTTAATTAAATCTATCACACATTAGCCGATCCTTATGCCGGGGCAAACCCTGAAGCAGAGTGTAATCCTAAACCAAACCCGATCAGAGAACCCGATCAGGCCCAGGGAGATGCCGTGTTTTAATCATGTTCAAAATGTGTTAGCTGAGCCGTAATATTATAAAATATGATACATTTTTGAGCTATAATAATGATTAATTATATTTTTAGAATGTAATGAATTTTTATTATAAATAATAAATTTTTAAGTTTTATTTAATATTTAATATATTTTGGTTTAATATTAATTAAAAACCACGTTTGCTGTTATTAATATGAGAAAGTATTAGTCTTGTATTTTGAACATTGTTACTATTATTTATAAAGTACAATAATTAAACGTAAAAATATTCAAAGTAACACAATAAATAAAATAATCAATTACAATTAAATAAATACTATATTATTTTCTAACTAATAATATGATTATTATCTATCACTATAAAGATTAACAATTTGTTCAAATTACAATCATCTTAGTTATCTTACAATTGGACTTCCCTGATTGCCCGGCCCCGATTTTAATTTAATTGTGATATCTCTAGAGTTTAGGGCATATAAAACACATCTATGTACTTTTTAGAGATGGCATTCACTTTGGGAGGCATGAGAGGGGGTCATATATTTTATATTTCTCATTGGTATTCTAATAAGGCAGCCAGTTTATATACCACACTATGGCCTAATGATTAGAGTGTCCAGCTACTTACCTCAATTGCCCAGGTTCAAAACGCCACTGCACCATGTTTTATTTGTAATATTTTTGCATTTTAATTTATAACATTTTTATCGATAAAAAATATTTATAAATTCACTATTTTAAATATTGATTCATTAATTAATTTATAATTACAATACTATTTCAATAATCATAGACCAGTAATTACATAAAAGTGGAAAAAAATATTACAAATAAAACATGGTGCAGTGGCGTTTCGAACCTGGGCAATTCAAGTAAGTAGCCGGACACTCTAACCACTCGGCCACAGAGCTATATATAAACTGACTACCTTATTTCAATACCCATGAGAAACATGAAATAGATGACCCCCTCTCATGCCTCCCAAAGTGAATGTCATCTCTAAAAAAGTACATAGATGTGTTTTATATGCCCTAAACTCTATGGATATCACAATTAAATTAAAATCGGGGCCGGGCACGTAAAATATAGCCATTGTTAGATATATTGTTTTACATTGTTTATACAAATATACTATAGATGGCAATATACAATTCTTTACAATTGCTATTTTGCTTAGAAACTATTAATTGTAATCAGGAAATTTAGTCAGATCTACCAACGCCCAAACAATGCGCTTTTATTGCTTACGAGATTGTTTTCTAAACAACGTACATTAAATGGCTGCAAAATAAATAATTTTTATAATTCACATTTATAAAACTACATGTTTATGTCATATAAAGTGTTTAATTAATAAATAGTTACTTCGATCGTAATGTGAGAATTATTACATAAAATATTTTTATTTAAATTAAATATCATAAATGTGATAATTATACATTACAAAATAATTATAGCTAATCATGTACAATCCGCTACGTGATTACCCTGGTTTAAGTAATTTGGTCACGCAAAATGACCGAATGGTCAGCGATTTCGATCAAAATACAGTGGAAATTATTGGAAAAGGTACTTTTGGTCATGTAGTCAAAGCCAAGCATAAGGTGGATAGAAAAGTATATGCTATTAAGATAATTGAAATTAAAGGTATTATTATATAAATATTACTTACATAAATATAATTTAAAAATAAACCAGGTTGTTTTAAGAATATAAAGGATATTTTAAGAATTTATCAATTAAAATGCAGGTAATGAAAGTGATGTGCGCAAACGTTACGATAAACGTTTGCGTGAGGTTGAGGTGTGGGCCCGACTCGACTCGGACCACATCGTCCAGTTTAGATCCTCATGGCTGGAGTGCTCTATAGCCGAGTCGGACACCCCATTCCCTCTGAGCCTCAAACTAAATATACAGATGGACTTGTGTTGGTTCACACTGAAGGAGGCCATCGACAAAATGCGGACTCATTTTGGGCGCAATAATAGATAGTTGTGGCCAGAGTTGGGCGCATATATGGCCGGCGAGTTTTTGGTCGAAATACTGGAGGCTATTGGCTATTTGCATACATTACAGCCGTCAATAGTACACCGGGACATAAAACCCCGTAATATTTTTATCAAAGGTGGTGGATTAACTGGCCTATTTATAAAACTGACCGACTTCGGTGAAGCGGTTGAACATAAAAGTGAGTCTCAGACACATACCAACCGTGTCGGCACCGATAAGTATATGGCGCCAGAAGTGAGAAATGGCCGCAAATACGGTACCAAAGCTGATATGTATAGCATTGGTGTTACCATTCAGAAGATGTTTAATTATGATGTTTATAAGTATTTATTACAATCATATTAATATTATTATAAATATCAATTCTCTCTCTCTCTCTCTCTCTCTCTCTCACTCAGTTTACCACATGATTTATGCGCATTCTACCTGGGAATTTCCGATTTAACAAGATCATTATTGTCGGGTTTACAAAAAGAAAGACCGGACTGTACCGCGTGTTTATTAAAAAGGTCCGAGTGGTCAGTGCCTTACAGTGCTGTGAGGGCTCACATCGTGTCCACCATTGATGTCAATAATAGTGGTTATAGTTATAACGAAGAGTTTATTCAATACTTTTTACTCGAAAAGTTTAAATACAATAAAACACAAATTCTAGTGAATGAAACAAAAAATAATAAATTGATTATCACTGACGACACTGAACATCAAATGACAAATAATGCAATTAATTTAGACACTGATAATGCGGTAGCAACCAAAACTGATCATAATACAACTGATACGTTAAGCAGTAGTATATATGGCTCACAATTCAATGTAATATCAACCATAGGTTCGGGTGCTTATGGGACTGTATTTAAAGTAGTACATAAAGTGGATGATAAGATATATGCCGTTAAAAGTGTACAATTTGGACGTATGTATAGCATAGGCTTATA